CCCCCCCCGGGCCAAGCAAACAGCAAGCAATAACAAACCGATTAAATCAGTGGCAGAGTGTGTGTCTGTGTCGGTGTTTTTTTTTTTCAGTTACAGATGAACCTCTCCACAACGGTGACCTTCGGGACAGAAGAAAGTGGCCGTTGTGGAGAGGTTTAAACAAGACACTGACAACGTTCACTGTATGGACTGTCCGCCAAAAACAGTGGCCGTTAGTGAGGTTCGACTATAATTGAAAATTCAAGCGACTATTTATCTTCTTAAATCTATTACCTGAATCCTCATACATCATCATCATCATAATCATCATAATCATAATACAAGGATTACTCTTATACTGAGCTTGGGCTGCCGGGATCCAACGATAAAACGAAGTTAAGTGTTTTCTTTCTGAATCGATTGACTGCGAACAAAGATAGGACTTCTACACTTTTTGATTTTTGACCATTGACCATAACTTCCTGACGTCTATGTGTTAAGCAAGATGTTAACCGCCCCCGGCTGTGATGCCATACACAGTGATCCAATTTTCGCCCCATGCAAGGGAATCCAAGACAAAATTGGATTCTGGATTCCAAGCCATGGATTCCGGATTTTTCGTAATCAAAAATTTATCTATATCATAGAGTGCGCTTGCAGGATTAGTCTATGCAGTAAGAGTCATTTTTATCTCTTAATTGTGCAATTTGTTTTGCGACATAATTTTATATTATTGTGATTCTTTTTTCAGTATTAACGGGAAGCGTACACAATCTGTTAGTGTAATTTTATAATAAATGTACTGGATTTACCGTTAACATCATTTGTATCGCTAAATATGTGTATGGATCAATGCTAAAAAGTGATTTTGACGGATTTTGCGTTCGCTTATTTCTGTTCCTTACCTTTCTACTTCAAGACGAATAGTAAAAGGCGAACTCAAAAATATGGTAGTCCAGGTAGTCTTTGGGACTTCTCCTAGCCTGCGTGGCAGGCGTTCGAAAGAGAAGTGAAGGGGAATGCGAGCGCAAGAAAAATTCCCTTTCCCTTCCCTTTCGAACGCCTGTCACGCGCAGGCCAGGCTTCTCCCGCTGACTTCTATCCTTTTTGAACGCATTGCGAGTGGGGTTGCGAGTGTTGCTTATATTTCACGGTCGAAGACTGGGGTCAACTTACATGCATTCAACATGGCGGACATGATCACCATACTAGCAGCTAAATACAGGAATTGCACCGACCTGTGATTGGAAGATAAAAATAGTATGTCAGTGGCGATGACGTGACAATTCGTTACGTTAGCCGTTTCAAGAGTAACGGCTTTTACACGAAAAAGACAGTCCACAGGAAAATACAATATAATACTAAATATTTCTCAAAGACAAACAGTGCAGTATTCTTTTGAAGTCGGCTGACTCGCTAAGAGTCAATGTCTTATCGAAGTTGAAGTTCAACTGTCGCAAATCGGATAACTTCACTGAGTGATTCTGAGATGAAACCTTTTGT